ATTTTCTTGACTTGGCAAGCACAAAACTGATTGGCTGACTTCATGCAACTTCCGGTACAAAGGGCGTAGTGCTGGGCGGTATACCGATTCATACCGAATACCGTTTTTTTGTTATGATATGAATTTTGAAAATACCCCAATACCGGTATATGTCACTTAAACAACGTTCGGAATGCGACACTGTTTGAAAGGGATGTTGCACTGTGGTGAGGGAACAGCTGTATGTGTTACCAAGCGTGAAAGTTCCGAAACTGAAGCTGTAGAACTAATAGAACATGATGAAGCAGATGAACTCATCCACAATATCCACATTGACCGCCACAAATATCCACCGCCCCCTGCCATCAGCTCCCGCCTCACATACACATGAGCGCGACTTTAGCACTAGATTTAGCAACTTTCAGACCCTTTTAGCGGCTTTTTTCCAAAGAATATTCATACTGTGACAAACCTAGCGACTTTTTTGGATAAACCTTAGCTATGGTTCAGTTGGAAGATTTTGCCAGTGCTGTCCCGCGAACGCGAGGTCTGACTTTCCCGGAGAAGTGTCACCTCTCTCGGCGTCTGTTCTGTGCAGTGAGCGGCAGAGAAGCAGCGCATTCAGTTGGCAGCACCGCAGCCGACTCGTCAATAAATGAGTACAAAACAGCGTTTCCTAGCACCTGTCGCTTACTGATTGTTTGGAATTATAAATATGAGCGTAGTTCGTGTTAAAATCACATGCACCCCTTTTTTTTTTTTTTTTAGTCACTCAGACGCAGGCAGTGCGCTGCATGAGACAAAAAAGTAATATAGCCAAAACAACTGCATAGCCGCTCTTTAGTGTAGATGCATGTTGATTTTATCAGACGATGCCGCGATTATAAATGAGAGTGACTCCTGGTTAACATGTATTAAAAGGGGTCGTGTTTAGTCACAATTTAGTGTGGTATTTTTTGACAATATTCACTCATCATGACAGTAAAATAGGGCATTCTAAGTCAATATACTGCAGTATTTCCTCTCTCAATCAGTAGAAAATATGGTTAACACCCGGTCATGCATGAAAAAAAAATACCGTCTTGTACCGTGAAACCGGTATAATTTCGAAAAATACCTTGATATAAATTTTTGGTCATACCGCCCAGCACTAAAAGGGTGCATAGTTTTTTTTTTTTTTCAGGTACTGGGTTAATGCAATGCTTGCTTTTTGTGGAAGAACTAATAACTGGATTTGCCAAAGTTATTTGACAGATTTTTAGAATTTTGTTGCCTGTTATTTAGATCTTATAATATATTTAAGATAAGATAAACCCACCCTTAATCGGCATGTAAAAACAAACTGCATATTATATGCATGCCATAAACGTGCGTATCATATGCACGCCAAAGTCAATTTTTGTGTATCAATACCACAAGTTTTTGTTTTTATTTGGCGTACTATTTATACGCATTTTCATGAGACCGGGCTCGCCGTTCTGTCAAAGGTCTGGCTGAGCAAGACATGTCACGTTTGCGCATGTACGCGTTCACACTCGTCCGCACGTTCAGTACCGTCCTGGCCAGCTGTCAGGGAAATTCCTGATCCGTTAATGATGCACTTCTTCTGTAGAGACCACCTCAACCCTTTTCCCTCTGTTATCAGAACTCCCACTCCAGCCATGGCTCTCTCAATAAAAACCACGCTGAGGGAGTTTCGGCGATCCTTCTTCCCCCTCCGCATATCCTGCTCTTTCTTTCTTGTCGTTTTTTTGTCTGTCTCTCTCCCTAGCCACTTACTTTCCGATGCAACGTGACGTCTGCTCAGTCTGAAGGCTGTTTTTTCCTGAGTTGCATGTAAAATTAGAACATTTGTCAGCACTGTGCGTAGCCAGAGGATCCATTAAGCAACCGCTACACATTAGACTTGAAAAAAAATTCACACAAAACTGCTTCAATTCTATAGCAGTTTTTGAACTGTCTTTAGAATTAATCTCAGAATTAACTAATAGAGGTCTTATAATTCTGGATCTCTTCAGAGTTCCAGAACTCTTGGAATTCTGCGACTCTTTATAATCTGCTTGAGAATTCCAGAACTCTTCATTAGCAGTTTTAGAATGCTGGAACTCTTTATTAAACCCATTCTAGAATGGTCCATCAGAATTAAAACTGCATTGAAGTTCTAAAATTCTTTGATAACTGCCTATTTTAGAACAGTTATCATTTGCTTTCAAATTCAAGAATTTTTAGAACTTTTTTTCTACTTCAGAATTCTATAACAGAACTGCATGTGAACTAAAACCATTTATCAGCCTTAGAATTCTGACTTAATGAAGATTTACAGAATTCCACAAATATTGTGCAACTGCCTGTGAATTCTAGAACTCTTAGTTAGCTGTCTTAGAATTCTGGAATTCTAATAAAAACACATTCTGGAAAGCTTTCTCAACTACTTCTGAATTTGAAAATGTGTCATATACTGCATCAAAAGCCCCTTTTCAACTATCTGACTTTTAGCATTTATCAGAAACTGCTTTAGAGCGCCAGATTTTTTTCAGAACTACCTGAGAATTCTGTAACTGCCTCTGAATTCTATAATGTTTTATCAGATGTCTTAGAGTTTTAGAACCTCAGAGTCTTAGTTTTTTTTTTTTAAGCTTTGAAATTCTAGACTTAAGTTTAACTTGAATCACAGGTTTTAATGAGGGCTGCCAGCATCCAAATTTGACTCCAGACTAGTAGTGACCCAGACTGGTTTCAGTTCAGGTCTGCCTTGTAAAGCTTCTTCCCCTTCTTTTTCCTGTCTGAGTGTTTTTCTCCCTAAGCCAGCTGTAGTTCTTGCTCTTTTATTTTTTATGATGTGGGTTGGGTTGACTAGGCTTTGAGGTTGTGGTAAAATGGTTGCACGTCGGGTTCAGTCTTGAGCCGGCCTGTGTCTTGTTTTGTGGGATTGCTGTTGTGAAGGGGTTAAGTGTCTTGAATGATACATTGATTGCAGTTGGTAGCTGGGAGTCGTTTTAGCAGGGGACAGCGGGGGAGGAAACGTTACAGCAAAGAGCAGTTCTGAGGAGAAAATCACGACAAATCTTTTTCTCGCTAGGCTGTGTAACACGGCTTTATTGTCTGTTTAATGTAACACTCAGCTCTCCTGCCTGCAAACATCCCCACTGAGGAACTCCCTGAGGCAGGAGAGAAAGAGAGAGACCTCGATGGAAAGGGAATGAGGCGATGGAAACATAAAAGGAAATAGAGAAATTCTCCCTTGAACTTCGGCTCGCTTTCGGTAATTGAGCGTGGTAGGTGTGTGTGTATGTTTTACCTTCCGTGTGTTTTGGTCCACCTCTCCAGGCAGACGGGAGCGAACATCCGCACTGGAGCGAGAGTTTCTCGTTTGGGCTCGTTAACGGCTCGGCGCCCCTGCTTAACGGCGTAGGTTTTTTTCAGTCATGCCGGCGGCATGCCGTATCCTGGATACGGAGCCAGCGGGAAGCGCGAAGCAGAGCTGCTGGCAGCAGCGTGAGGCAGGTCGTACCACTGTGTGACTCCGTCGGGGGAGGGGTTGAATGCGTTCTCTGAGACGCTGCCAGGGTTGAAGTGCGAGTGCTACGCCTCCTGAATCCTAATGCCCTCATTCGTCTGAGCGCTGAGCGGACACCGGCCCTCCCCTCTCCAGCCCATCTGTGTGTGTGCGTGCGCTTGTTTTTGTTGCCGCCGTGCATGAGGAATCGTCTCGCGGTGATGGATGTGGGAGTTCCTTTAAACCCGAGCTTGCAGAAGAACTCTCCAATTAATTCTGCGAGGGCTCTCTGTAATTCCAGCCTCTTCCAGACATTGTTCTTAACCAGCAGACGGGAATGGCAGGAAGCGCGAATGGGAAAATACATATTGATAACTTTCTATGCGTTTCAACTACTATAATGCTAAATCGCAGAAATCTGAGTAAACCTATGGTATTGACAGACTTGCACAGTTTGCCTGATGGATGATAAAAATTGGCGAAATTGAAGGATGTTCTCAAATGATAGAATTCTTGGGTCTTTTGAATTGTTCCAGCACAGAACATTCTAGCGACCTCAAAGCAACATTCTGAGCAATTGCTGGCATGTTCCTTTGTGGTTGCTAGGGTGTTCTGAGCAGTTGTTTGGATGTTCCTTTGTGGTTGCTAGGGTGTTCTGAGCAGTTGTTTGGATGTTCCTTTGTGGTTGCTAGGGTGTTCTAGATTGGCACAATTTAAAAACAACCTCGAATTCTATCATTTGAGATCCTCCTTCAAGCAACCACAAAGCAAAGTTCTAACGACTGTCTAACAACCGTATAACAACATCCTTCGCATTTTACTGGGTTCTTTTGGCTTGGGTTGATGTAGATAGGCTTCTCTGGTGAGACATATCTAAGCACCAAAATATCTGAAAATATGCAAAGATTGTGGCAGCCGGTTTCGCACGAGCAAACATCGTTCACATTTCCGCCGCCTTTAAAGTCACTCCTACTCTGCTGCTTCTTGCAGACTCACACACACACACACACACAGTGCCGTCTCAGGCGTCTCATATAGAAAGTGAACAGCAGGCTTGGGACAGGATTCGTCTGTAAAGACCCTGATACCTCACACATCAATAATCAGCTCTGGGCGGAACTGTCTGTCTGCTCTCTGCCTGTCTCTCTCTTTCTCTGCGAGCACCAAAATATCTGAAAATATGCAAAAATTGTGGCAGCCGGTTTCGCACGAGCAAACATCATTCACATTTCCGCCGCCTTTAAAGTCACTCCTACTCTGCTGCTTCTTGCAGACTCACACACACACACACACACAGTGCCGTCTCAGGCGTCTCATATAGAAAGTGAACAGCAGGCTTGGGACAGGATTCGTCTGTAAAGACCCTGATACCTCACACATCAATAATCAGCTCTGGGCGGAACTGTCTGTCTGCTCTCTGCCTGTCTCTCTCTTTCTCTGCGCTCTTTAATGGTGTTTAATGAATTTCATTCCTCGCTGCACCATAGTAACCGCTCGTCTTCTGTCTCTCTCCCGCTCGCTGTAGGAGGTGGTTTTGTACTGTCTGGAGAATAAAGTGTGTGACGTGAATCATCGGGATAATGCGGGTTACTGCGCGCTCCACGAGGCCTGTTCCCGCGGCTGGCTCTCCATCGTACAGCACTTACTGGAGCACGGGGCCGACATCAACTGCAGTGCACAGGACGGCACCAGGTAAGCACACATGCATTCATAATGTCACCTAAATAGCAAAGCCTTACATGCAAGACTAGTTTCTTTGACTTCCTGTGCTTTTGTCACACTGCGTTCGAGAGCATGTGCGTACCACCGCGGCATGGATAATTACACGTGCGCACACGTGTTGACGCGCGCACACTCAATGTCAGTAATTATATGTTTGGTAATAATGGCTTTACAACAACAGAAGAGGCCGAGAATCTTAGCTTGGATAATTACCGCAAGAAGAGCAGATTAGGCGTGTAAGATCTCTGTCTTCGCTATACACTTAAAAATCCAATTTCGTTTAGCGTTCCGATTCCTGTCGGAAAGATGAATGACAGTGACAGGTTTTAATGACTGTTTTATTGGGCAATGCCAACAGATAAAATTAAGGTAATTATGGACAAGTGAAGTAATTGAACTGTTTAAGCAAAAAGAAAATCTCGCAATTGCCAAAGAAAGTTAAATTAAAAAAATAAAGTTTTTGGTATTTAAAACCATCAGCAGGTGGATTATGATCACAAGACAAATAATCTTTCTTAATGAAACTTTCTGGTATTATTGTGAACCATTTGTCAGTGCACATTATTCTAATGATTGATTGATTTATAATTAATGATAATAACGTTTGTTTGTTTTTTATTATTTTTTATTATTTTATAGTAAAAATTGACTACTTTCTCCAAGGTTAGGGTAATTTTGTTGCATTGTGAAGGTCAGAGGTGAACTCTGAGATTGAAAATTATGGGAAAATAAAATAAGTAATACTTTTCATGATCTAATCAAAATCTGATGGATAAAATAAATATAAGCTACAGTATAAATGTTTTTTTGGTTTTTTTTTTTTTTTAGAAGTAAGTACTCTTCTCTTTTTTCCAACAGGCCTCTCCATGATGCTGTGGAAAATGATCATCTAGATGTGGTCCGACTCTTGCTGTCATACGGCGCCGATCCAACTTTAGCTACCTATTCAGGCCGCAGTTTGCTGAAGATGACCCACAGCGACATAATGGAGTCTTTTCTGTCTGGTAAGAGCGTGCTGTTCCTCTCTTCCACCTCTATTCCCAGAATTTCTCTCCTGTAGCAGTGGAAGGTTGTGCTCCGCTTGGCTATCTGGTTACTAAGCAACAGCTGGAGCGGAGGAGAAGCCTTTAGTACCAGCAAATCAGCTTTCCCTGAAAGGAGATTATGTGTGTGTTCGTCCGTGTGCATGTCTTTATTGTGCAGGTGTTGTGCGGTGTGTCTGTTTTGAAGGGTGTGCAGGAAGGGTGTGCAGGTTTGTCGCACGCAACAATATTTGGAAAAGATGGGTTGTATTATTGAAATGGTAATCTGGGTCTAATCTGGAGCCATCTAAGCTAAAATGGGGTATTGTTTTTATGATTTTAGAAGCTTTTGGCATCATTCTGACCCTTTGAATTTAAACAGCTTGCTGTGTTTTTTTCCGCTATTGTATGATGTGACTTTTCATTGTGCATGTGTGTGATTTTTGGGGGAAAGTTTTCCTGTTACGCCTCAAGAACAGCATCTGAATGATTTCAAGGATTTAAATTGGGTTTTAGAAATCTACATTTAGCTTAAACGACTTTTAAAGCTACAGCATGTGTTTTCTGCCCCACTAGCAGCACCAAACAGAACTCAAACTTATTTGAAAACAGTCATTATTATGGCAAATTCTTTCGCCATTTGTCATTGGTTCGGAGAATTGGACAAATCCCGCCCCCAATTTATGCTAATGGTTACAACACTGTTGCAATGTCAGTGCACTCAAACAAAAAGAAACTGCAAATCCATCTGGTGCCACTAGTGGTCTAAAAATTACACGCTGAATATTTAAAGCAGCTGTATAGTTTTGTGTGTTTTTGCGGGCTTTGGAGCCCACTACAGTCGTAAATATATCACTGTTGTATTTACAGTGATTACCGATGCACACGCATTTATGGTTTTGATAAATCGGTCCACACTTTTTGTGGCAGTTCGTACACACTTGCATACTGCCAGAACAGACATTTGGGTGACGCTTGGGAAAGAAACAGAAGCCATTCTCCTTATTAAGATTCAGTGTTCCATCAGAATTATTTTGAAACTTAAATTTCAGGAAAAAATTACACATTCAGTTGCTTCAAATGCTGTTTTTTTTTAAAACTGTGCAATGTAATGCTCAACCTGTTGAATGTTTGAATGGCTGTGCTGGCGAACGCGGCTCCCGTCGCCGCTGGCTGTGCTTCGTAGCACCAAGTGGCATCTGAGTGCGCGACCACATAATGCTATCAGAGCCTCTGCTGTCTGTAGAAGACTATTTTCTTATTGTCGCTTGGAGAATGTGGTCTGTGTTTAGCATTTGCACAATATATCGGTCATCATATCTGCCAAACATTAGCACTTCATTCCCTTTTATTGATATCTTATCTCATCTTATTTATGTATTTATTTATTTTGATTTATTTTATTACTTTTATTTATCGGATTCTAGATTTGGAGCAATATCCTTTAATTAACACTTTTTGTTTATTAATATTAGTTTATTGATTTATTATTATTATTTTATTATGTGTATTTTCTTGAAATGACGAGCATGATCTTATGCTAATATTAGCTTGAAGTTTAGATTTCTTTTGCCGATTTATCTGCAAACATAATGGATTTGAGCTATTATAGAGGGGGAAAAAATTAGCTATCAGTATCTGCCAAAAATTCTGTCAGTGCATTTCTAGTTGCTTCCTGTTTACATCGCTAATGGTCTCATCTCTCTTTCTCACTCTAGATTATTTTGCCGACCTGCAGGGCAGAGAGGACGATGACCCCGGCCTGTACTGGGAGTTTTACGGCAGCGCAGTGTGCGGTGAGTACCACTTTCACACTTGAACACACACACACATATTCTCAGAAATGCACAAAACACCCACAGTAACAGACGTAAGAAACAATGGAAAAGAGAAAAGAATCACGCAAACAGACAGACAGACGGGTAAACACCTGAAGGTAAATCTTTGTGTGAATCATCAATGTTTGTAGACGGTCATTGATCTAGAATTGGAAAAAAATAGCTTCCATGTGTGTTTCTACCTCTGATGTTTGCTTGAAAGTATTTATATAAAAATTCCCCATCCGCTGGGTGGTGGGGTCGGCACCATGGGAGCAAAAATAGATGGCAGTATTTTTTTTATTGCTCTTTTTTTTAAAAACAAATTCTAGCTGCGTAGCGAGAGTTCCCCTGGCTGCCATATATCAGCAGATCGCTCGTTGTGTGTGTGTGTGTGTGTGAGCGGGCCTGTTTCCAGCTGGCCGAAAACAAACCCACTGCTACTGCACATTTTCCCTTGGATTCCTGGAATAACAAAACCGGGAGAGAATGGGAGATGTTGAAGGGAGCCACGCAGCTATTTTTGGGAGCTTTGCACTGCCTTGGAAAAACCCAAAACGCAACAGAAAGAGGTAGAGGTGCCTGTTTCGCTCCGAGGCGTACGCTGTGCCGCTAGCGTGCACGAATGAGTGAAGTGGCTTCACACGCAGCTCTTCCTGCAGTGCTGCTTGGAAGAGAGTGCAAATTGGAGAGCGCGTTCAGAGAGCGACGTGAGAGCAGCGCCTCGAAAGCATGTCTCTGCATGAATCCGACAGGGAGAGGGAGGGTAGGAGGGATTTTTGAAGGGATATCATTTGTGCGGAATCCATTGCTAGCTCTCAGAGAGTGTGTGTGAGATTCCACAATTCACACTTTGTCTCTCATTTCTAATCGATATCTTTCTGTCTGACTATCAGAGCCTGCCGACAACTCGTCTGGTTATGACATCCTAGCTAACCCACCTGGCCCCGACGAGGACGAACAGAGAGAAGTTTTCGAGTTCGAATTTTCCGACCGGCCGCTGCTGCCGTGCTACAACATCCAGGTGTCTCTCTCGCAAGGGTAAGAATCTAAATATTTAGTCTTGACTGGCATTTGTCTGTAACTACTTTTTAGAACGAAACCAGTTATTTTATTGGTAGAAATAGTGGGAATGTAGACATCGTTTTCAGGTAAAAGATGTTGAGAATCGGTCCAAATTGACCAAGGTACTAGTCTGAAATATTGTAAATGCAGAATTTAGAAGAAATTTCGATTTGAAGCAAGATGCTCATAATCATTTGTTGATGTTTGATAGCCATCATTAACATGTTGCTTACTAGCAGGATATTCACTTTCATGTGTCACTTAAAGTAATTTTTATTAGAGTTATTTATTAGACTTCTAAATCTTTGCATTAAAGTTTTTGATCCTAGTGGATTTTTGTAATTGAAAATTTTCAAAATGAAAGTGCCGAATGTTCCCAGGACTTGCTAATTGTTCACCAGTAAGTTTAGTCATTATTTGATTAATGTTGATTGTACAAAGGCAATTTACGCTGAAATTAACTTCAAGAAAGGTGTTGGTAATTATTATCAAAAGTTTGGTTGTCATTGTAGTATCATAGATGGTGCAAAAGATGTTTTGTTTGTATGTCAACTTATTGTCGCAATTGCCAAATGTAGCCATAGAGCTATTATTAGAGAATTGCACATTACAAAGTATTGCGTAGAATTGTGCATTATGAAGTATTGCACAGTTCAAAGTATTGTGCAGAATTCTTGTAATTAGGAAATTCTGATGTACAGTTGTCAGTTGTTGGCTGCCAGGACATTGCTTCCGCAAGAGCCACAGACCGCCTCAAGTGCCATCGATTGAGCGCTGCCTGTTACTGCTTTCCCCGCTGTGTATGTGTGTGCGCGCGTCTGACAGGCTCAGTCTACGGTCTTTGTGTGTGTGTGTGTGTGTGTGTGTAGCCTATTGTGTTCCTGGGCGAGTGAAGGCCTTGAGAATCTTTGTGTAATTTTGTCTAATTATCTGAATGCTGTTCTGGGGCAAGCTTTTGACACGGTGTATGTGCACATACATTTTTTTGTTTTGGTGTTTCTCACTTTGTGCACATGTTCTGACATATTTAGCCTTGGCGCTCACGTGGACGCTGCAAATTCGCGCCAACTTTGCACATCTTATTTTTATTATGCCACGAATAATAATTAATAATTGTATTAATTCACGGCATAGTGAAGAAAACTAGCATGAAAACCTTGCGCTCTTTTTCAGCCAATTAATCTCTTTCTCTCATTCTTTTTCTCAGACCTAGAAACTGGTTGCTGCTCTCAGATGTTCTCAAGCGCCTTAAGATGTCTGCCAGAACGTTCCGTGCCACGTTCACTCACATCGAAGTTGTGACTATAGCCGAGGCGGAATTCTACAAGCAGGCATCTCTGAGTCAGCTGTTCTCTTGTCCGGAGGAGCTCGAGGGATTCATGCCCGACAGCAAGGAACTCTTGGATCTGGTGGAAATCAGCACCGAGCTGGTGGCGCTGCTGGGGTCGTCGCTTGAATGCTTGGACGACCGCTGGGAGCCAGTATCCAGACCTCGCTCATAAGCTTCTGAACATGCACGCACACTCATACTGACTCTCAGACGGACCCTTGGAGACCTGTGGAGAGCTAGAAGCAAAAGAAAAAGGATATTCTGAGGCAGTTCTTGACATTTCAAGGAACTTCTGGACTGGTAGCCAAAGGCGAAATTGGGTCCCAGTGCAGCTGATCTTTCTGTTTGGCTTGGAGAAGGTTTCGGAACATCTCTTGCGCTCTTCTCGCATACTAATTCTCCTGGTGACGATGCAAACCTGTACATAGTGTACATTCTGCAGATATGGAAAGAGAACGTACCTGAGAAATTGGACCACTATCTCTGGCTAACTCTGAGATATGAAGTCATGCTCGCAACGAAGAACTCTTACATTTAAAAGAGATGTTTTCTAAATAGGAATATAAGTATATATACAGCCACTGTATTTTATTTCTGTGTATTATAAATATATATATATATATATAAATATATATATATATATATATATATATAAATAAAAAGTAAAAATACTGTCATTATCATGTAGCTATCCTGACCTTTATGCTGTTTCTTCTGTGGGCCACACAATGTTTTCGTCAATACTTCTGTACTAATATGGTTCTTTTTAAATTGGTTTATCTGTCTTTTTTGGATCTTGACAGCCATTCTGACTGATTGTCATTGTATAGCCTAAAAGCGCGCATAAGGCTGATTAAGAAAAGAAAAAAATCCCCAACGACGTGAGAGTAAGTAGGCTAAACAATGACAATTTTCATGTTTGGGTGAATTATTTTTGTATTTGAGGCATAGTAATGGACTGCTGGTGTCTATTTTCAGATGGGATCGGTTGAACTGAAGAGGTGTATCTTAATTACTGTAGTTAATCACACACAAAGGATTTGATTTTTACTGTCCATATTTCTGAGTGGTCACGATAGTTTTTTTTTGACACAATATGAAGCGATTAAAAAACATGGGCAGCTTGTTTACACTGGACCTGTTCATTTGTTGTGGTTAAGAGCTGGAAAGTAGGCTAATAAATAATAATAATTATCGCAATAAACCACGCAATGCAATGTGTAGTGATTTTACCACAATTGGCAGTGACTTGACAAACAGCTTTATACAAATGTTAAACAGCTAACTGAATGAAGTTTTATAAATGTAGTGATATTTACGTATTAACATCCTAATAATACAATTTTATAAAAATATGATATGAAATATATAAATATTAAGATCATCACAAAAGAGAAATAAGGCGCTTAAATGAATTTTAAGGGACTCTTATGAGAATTGATTAACGCTGTGCTTGTAAATAAATATGGAAATGAACATGTCACTGACTTATTGGCCATTTCTAGCTCTCTGAGGTGTCAAATGTAACTCAAATGTTGCGTAGCGTAATTGACGACTGCGGACAGAGCTACATACGGCCCAGCGCTGTGGAAGCTGGACTGCAGGGAAGAAATGTGGCCATCTAATTGAAAAACAATTAAATTACATTAGGCTTGGCAATTACACTCTCCCCCTTCCCCGGGTTCCGTGTTACGACGGTTAATCCGCTCTTTATCTATTAGTCAGAGCTGTGACATTGACGGGACTCGACTAGCAGAGCGCGCAGAGAGAGACAGATGCGTCCACCTCACACCTTGTCAACACTGACGCAACGCTTTATTTGCCCTGTTCAGGAGGGGGCCCGTGACTGGTTGTGGAGTAGATTGACTGGAGCGCCGATCGCCAAGCCACCATGGCCACCATGTTATTTTGTTTAGTTTTTTCCGTAAATTCCATGCATTACCATTTGAGATCGAAACATAGTCTGAAATTGGTTTACCAATAAAATTCATTTATTCTATATTTGACTTTTGAACAATATGTGCACGTATCTATCAGGTGATCTCTGCCCAGTGATCTGCATTCACCTCTATTATCAATATACAATATTTAGTGGTAGCTTATCAGTAGTGACTGTCAGTTAATGTACATATGGCAGAAATGTACGGAAAAATCAATTAAAGACGTAATCAAACAGACGATGAACACTATTAACAGCAGTTATTATATGATGCAATCAAACTTATAGCAAAATGTGGTAGTTCTGTATGTTGTTTCAGGGTTGGCATCATCTGAGGTCCTCTGAGGGATTGGCATCATCTCTTCTCAGGTGTTCTGGATCCAGACTGAAGCTTGTGCAAATCCTAGTTACCAATCAATCCCGTGGCAAAAACAGAGAAACAAATAGAGACATAATTAGTGTAGTGTTAGGCTATATGAGATCCTGGATTATATGAGATCTTAAAAGGATAGTTCACCCAAAAATGAAGATACTGTCATCATACTTACCCTCAAATTGTTCTAAACCTCTATGAATGTATTTTTTCTCCTCAACATAAAAGAAGATATTTTAAAGAATTATCGTAACCAGTTTCTGGTCCCCATAGACTCCAATAGTGTATTTTTTGGTAACACTTTACTTGAAGGGGTGTGCATAAGACTGACATGACACCTTCATAATCATGGCATGACACATGTCATGAATATGAAGGAGGTTTTATGCATGTTTATGACAACTGCCATTAAGTGTCATTCGCTCAGTTATGTTGTCATGCCATGATTATGAAGGTGTCATGTCAGTCTTATGCACACCCCTTCAAATAAAGTGTAACCTATTTTTTGAATACTATGGAAGTCATGGGGGCCCAGCAACTGTCTGATTACCAGTATTGTTCCAAATATATTGTGTTGTGTTCAACAGCAGAAGGAATCTCATACAGGTTTAGAACAACAACAGAATTTTCAATTTTGCTCAGTCATGACAGTAGTTGATCTGAAAGAGAAAACTGTAGAGAGTAAACAGTTTATGCTAATTCTGGTTACAGCGCCTCTTGTGGAAACGCTGAGAATTGAGTAGCTGCGTTATGACACAAAAACGGCGTGAAATCCAATTGTAAAATTGGGCTTCTTTTCTCATAAAACATTAGCAAAATTGATTTCTAATTCAATACGACAATTTATATAAGATTTTTTTTTTACAAAAAAATATATTTTGCGGACATTTGCTTGCTATGACTCATTGGTACATATGACCCATTAGTGGAATTTTTGCACAACATCATGGGTATTGTAGTTTTTCACCACAAAGTCTACTTATTTTAAAAAAATGTTTAAATAATATGAACAAATGGATTCAGGTCTGTCTTTAAATGTTAAAAACGTTAAAAATCATGAAAGTTATCGTCAAAAACCAATTTCCCTAACAGAGAAAATTGAATGAAGTGTTTACGTCCAGACTTAATTTTGTTGCATTTTCTGCACTCGTTGTCATCAAACACTGCAAATTCTCAATAAATCGGAAAGAATTTACATTGCTTATGCGACCAAAGTCACATTTGTATAACTTTGTGTCCATGAACTACATCCATGTCGCGGATCCCTGGCATTTACAAATATTTTGGCTCCTCTCCCGTGGCCTCATGGAATAGCCTAGTTTATATCATGACTACTTCAGAATCTCAAAAAAAGTCATCTGAGTAGCTACTTTCGCCTCTTATTTATAGGCTACATTAAACTCATTAATGTTCATTTTTGCATACTATACTTTTGAAAAGTAGGCATATTCAGTGCAATGTAAACGGTGTCACCGACAAGCAGAGCGCTGGGTAGGGTGTGTTATATTCAGGGGCAGGCTGGGCATCCACTTTATTGCAGCTGTCGGAAGGTTTTGTGTGTGTGTGTGTTCCAAGGGTCAATGCTGTGCCCATCTCTGAGAGGGGTTTGGCGTGGACACGCACATTTCTGGTTTGAGGGCAGGCAGGAAAAACGCTCTCTGGCGGATTAGGTAACCTCTACACTAATTAATTCTGCGAAGGGCCTTTCAGAGCGCCGCATGCAGCTCTCAGAGAGAGAGAGAGAGAGAGAGAGAGCGTGCGAGCGAGAGAGCGAGCGAGGGAGGCAGGCTGAAAGGATTGCATTATTCTGCGCTGCGAAAGGAAATCAGAGAGCGCAGGTCTCTCGGGGCCTCGGCGGCGCGCTCTAATAGCTCAGCGCGATCTCTGCTAGGATATTGCTGCCCTCGAGTGTGTGTGCGTGCCGGCAAGTGGGGGCTGGTGAGCATGTATGCCGATATTTTTAGGGAATACACAAAGGATACGCGTATGAGGATAAGAGAATAAGCAAAGAATGAGACACGGTTGACATTTTTGGACGCGTTTGGTCGTGTGGGTAGGGCTGGGAATCGGAATTGGAGAAAATATAGTGGAACCGAATGATTTTCATGACATTCGGTTCTGTTAACGGCTCTTGAACACCTACGGTTTCCCCAGTGGTTATCCACAGCGCTACGGCAAATAAAATGACGTTTTAGCTCTCAGTCTGAATTGAATGTGATAAGAGAAAGACAATAAATAGCAAACACCTTTCTATTGCATTATCCTCGCTGCGCGACCAACGATGTCCGACTCTTATGAACCGGCTCTTTTTAGTGAATTGGTCCAAAAGACTCAGGTATCCAATCATTTGTTATGTATACATAAGGATGAGATGAGTAATTTAGATTATATATAGGATATATACTGAATAGAATAAATATTGACTTTCATGTAGGCTACACCTGATTGGGCGGACACACAATCGTCCCGCCCTAAACTCACGCCATTGGTTGATTTGATGTTGTTGTGTCAGTCTAGTCTGGATGCCAGTTAACTTTTTTTTTCTTTAACTCAACATTAAGATTTCATACATTTTACATTTAAGTAAAATTGTATGTTTTACTTTAATTTCATCTATATTTTTCACAATTTTAATTTCCTTGGTCCTTTACTACAATGGCCTAACATAAACTATGGAAGAAGATAATTTGAGAAACATCTCTTTTGTTCATACAATGAAAGTTCAAAACAGCTTAGTAACCTGTCTTCTTTTTCAGCTTTTTTTTAAATGAAACAATAGCTACTCAAAATAAGAAACTAAAACTGCCAGCAGTTGGAGGTAAATGTCTTTATGAGTCATTCATTCATTCGATTCGGGCAAACTGCTGATTCATTCAGGAATGAAGTAAACGGCTCAGTTTATGAATAGGCTATCCACCTTTTTCTTCAACGCGGAAGTAAGCCTATGGGTGAGACTTCCGGTTCATTAGCAGCTATAGGGAAATAAGAGAAGAATAACAACGTGCAGTAAACGGTAAAACTGTTTGCACTACACAACAGTGTGTTCATAATTAAGATAATACATTAAAATAATATGGTAAGACACACCGATTTTCAATATCAAGCAGCAAAAGGAGCGGTTCTGTACAGCTAAAAATAGCTGGACCCATAGAATTTACAAATGTAAATGAATTTACATTGTTCATTGTTGGGGACTGCCCCACTGAATGCTGGTTAATAATTACTGACCGCTGCAGAACTCTTGTCAGGGAGTCGAGTCATCATATTGGGTTTGACCGTTT